TGGGGTTGGGTTTTGATAAGCATAGATTCAGTACACTGGGCATATATATCTTACATCATTAGTGTTCGTTGACATATTTTATATAAGAAAAATTCTGCTCAAATACACAAAAATTCTATGTAAATCAAATTACCAAAAATTATCTTGCTATAAGAGAGGCCCTAAATATCAAACATCTTTCCTCCACCATCATCCTCACCTTGTTTAAAAATGGAATGGGTATGCTGAAAGATTTTTAAAAATAGAAAGATGCTCACTTGAATTTCAGCCATGCTCAACACATGAAGCTTTGGAATAAATGCTCCTACTAGCATTCAAAATTACACAAATAATACATCTCAAACAGTCAAAACATGAAAAGAAACTAACACCAAAACAAAACCCCCTTGAAAATGGCTAATAAAGGGGCCAAAAGTACTTGGAACAATGGACAGTATTTGTACACCTTCACTTCCACCAAAAGGAAGACTGTCAGAATGCTGGAAAAACTAAATAAAAAATTAGTAAAATTTTTCCTTATCTGTCATATTTAATGAAAATGATATTTAAAGGAAAGGTTGCTGCTGCTCTCTCTCTCTCTTATATATATATATATATATACACTTTTCTCTCATAATAACTTGTATATATAAAGGTATATTAATCTTATAAAAAAGTATTCATTTTTAACATATCCCTTTCCTTGTCAATGCACTTAAGCTAATGCCACGCCATTAAACATACAGCTCAAATATTATATAGTTCAAATGAAAATGGAAATTCAGTTAGTATGTCTTTTTGGCGATCATGGCTGTCCACAATTTCTTGTCCTTTGTAGCTTTTAGTAAATTTTGTCCTTTTGCTATCTCTCCTAAATCCTGTTTTGCCATCCATTTACACAAGCTCATTAGGTAGTTTATGCACTGTTTCCCTTTGTTCCTCTTACCTTCAATATGTCCTGTGAGTGTCAAATTTTCCAAGCCCTCTTTCCTCATTATGTGCTCTAGAAATTTCAACTCTCTTTCTGATGTTAAGTATTTTTCTTAAAAACTTTATCATTGCACATGTTCAGTTCATGTTATTCTCAGCATCCTTCTACAGAACCACATTACTGTTGCCTTAAGTCTTTTTATATCTGTGATGAAATTGTCCAGCATTCACTACCATAGATGAGAACTGATATTAACAGTTCAGTACTCTTTTTTTCATTTCTAACAAAATTTTCCTCTTTTTTAATATTTTGCTTAGCTTTTGGAAGGCATTTTATGTTATCCTAATGCACCTTCAGATTTTAATGTTGTACTTTCCATCCTCTGTTAAAACACTTCCCAGATATTTTAACTGTTCTTTGATTTTGGTATCTTGCACAAGCTTCATTAATCTCACTCAACTTTTCACATGCAGAATAGGGCCAACAGGCCAGCTTTGACACCACCAGGCTCTGATGCCAAGCACCGTAATTTCTAACACCTCAACATTGTCACCGTCCAGCTTCAGGCCTCACTCATCATCACTACCATGACCTCGTTTTGTTGATATCATATTCAACCAGAATTCAACAGAAGCATTCCACTTGATCCACTCCAGGCCTCTCTCGTAATCACCATCATGATCCTCTTTTGTTGATACCACATTTGACCAGAATCCAACAGAAACATTCCAATTGATCAACATTCACTATCTACACCTAATCCCTTGTTGGCATTGTCATAACCATGACAACCAACAAGACTTAAGATGAATCAGCCCACCACTGTGAAATCATTCAACTAACCCACCAATTCACCTAATCAGGCAGTCCAATTTCAACATCTCAGCATCACCATCACAGGTGTCAATTTCCCCCTTAAAGAAAGGGGTGCATCAAGCTCCACCAACAGCTAATTCAATCTGGTCCTATCCTCTGAACTCCGAACTTTGATCTCAGCCAACCAACCAACCAACCCAAGAAATCAGTTAAATCCTGCTCCTACCGAGAAAACCCTTACACCATTTTCCTGATAAACAGCAATGGAAGAACCATGCATGAACAATTTTTGCCAAATTTCTCTCTCTCTCTCTCATATATATATATATATATATATATATATATATATATAATGTATATATAAATAAAAAGAAAGAACAGTAAGATATATAATCCGGTGTTCTTATAGATATTTTTATTTTTACAAAATAGTGCTCAATGTAAATTTACAGAGCATTAATATTTTTATAAATTAATTGATTTAAAATATGTTTTTTTCCCTACACAGTTCTAACCATGTTTCAAAAATGGAAGCTAAAAGCTCTGAATTTAATTTTGTAATTAAAGTGAGGATGAAATGGAACTAATGTCTTTAATTTAATTACAAAAATGTATATATATATATATATATGTGTGTGTGTGATATATATAAATATCTTGAAATACTAAAGAGTAAATTTATTCAATAAAATCACCATAGGCTTCAACCATGGCCTCTAGACGACTTAGGAATCTCCTACAAATCTTATGGACAGTCTCCTTGCTTAAGTTAGCAAATGCTGCCATAATCCTTGCCTTCAATAGTTTACAAGGAGTTTTGTTGGCCTCTCGCTCAACTGCACCCCACACATAATAATCAAGGGGGTTGCAGATGTAAGTGGTGAGGTGGTCGCAGAAATTTTCTGACAGTCATGACTGGCTTCTTCTGCTTGTGTGGCATGGTTTGAAGTCTTGTTGCCAGAAATACGATCTTCCAGCAGCCACCCTCTTGACCTTAGGCAGCATTACCTCCTCAAGCCACTGTGTTGAATCCAAGACTCTTGCTAACATATTCGGGAGTTCTTTTCTTATCAGAATGATAAGAGAGAATTTTCTGAGCTGACATACCTTTGTAATCACCATTAGACTCATCCAACTCTTTTTGAATCCTTTGCAGTTTCCTCAGATTGACACCCAAACACTCTGAAATGTTTCTATTGGAGTTTTCAGCATGAATGCCAAGCAGTACAGAATACTGTTTCCAAATTTCTGGTGAAGTGAATTGTGTTATGGTGCTCTTTTTCTCACAGATGGTGCCCAACTGACCCAACTATACTGTGCAGTCAACAAATTCTAAAACAATCAACATACATGCATGAATTTAAGCACATAAAATGGCGACAATTTACCCATCGCACTCTGTATTTGATGAATGCACACTGTTGAAAATTTAACTGTCATTTGTTCCTTTCCTTTGCAACAAAATATAACACGCATATTACTCTATAGTCCTGGATTGTTGTTAATTATCAGGTTCTTCTGTTAGTCGATTTTAAAGTTTATTAATAATGATAGCATTACAGATATTAGAAAAATGAAAATGGCTTAACTGGAATTAAAGTACCTTTTGTCTTGTTTTTAAAATGAAAGAAAACAAAAAGTTTTGTCTTGAACAGAATTATGTATATTGCCATACTTAAAAATTCTGCAGTTTCTAAGGTGTATGAGAAAGCAAAAGCTGAACTAATTAATAACTAGTTAACAAAAAATTTTAATAGTTAATTAGAAAACTATTGATTGTAAAATTCTAATTTTGTCTAGTTTCAGTTTTTGGCTAAAGTTTAAAAATAACTTCTTTTATCAGTAATTTTGCCATTTTATGTGAAAAGATCTTGCAATATTTTTAAAACTGTCTTTTGGTTTATATGGGACAAAACATCATTGGTATTAATGAATTCTATTCAAACTATTTTCTTTTTTTATTATTCTTCCTTTCTTATAATGTTTTGATCAGTTAATTCTCCAATCATCGTCAGCTTGCATCGTGGGGGGAATCTTTCACTGTAAAAGTTGGGATTTAGAGAGAAAATAGAATTGGTGAAATGTTTCTTATTAAATTACTTTATAATTAATCTCATCAAAAGAAGGCATGAACCTCAAAATCACTTATTCATAATATCATGTATTCATTCACAAAAGTCGGCTTTGTAGTTTTACAAATATTTAAATAATTTTGCGACTGTTTTGGGTATATTCATTTTGCCTAATTTCATCTATACAATTACTTTTATTGTAAGAAAAGATTCTACTTTTTCATTATTAAAATATTTATACCAAAAGGAACCAAAACAAAAATATATATATTAGCAGCCTGATTATCCCTACTTATTAATGAAATATTATATTGTTGTGTTTTTAATTCAAGGTATGTTCACTTATTGGCATTGTGTATTGCCTCCAATATAACAACTGAATATCTCATTATCTCAAACAAGGAAGATAAGAATGTTTGTGTAATGGAGAATCAGGTCAGCCTGACAAGTGACACAGAGTTGGTTGCGTGTGGTGAAATAAGCACCACTAGTTACATCCTCTTCCACAATTGGCTGTTGAGAGAGGACATTCTACTTAGAGTAAGTGACACTGACAAAATTTGCATATGAACAATACTGGGTAGGTATTAGCCAATAGTCAGTGTGGGGTCTGGGACAGAGAGAGCTATATAATACCAGCTTTTTCTCAGTCGGTGAGAAGCACTCTCGGAATGTGGTAAACCAGACAAGACAAACACAGCTTGATTGTTAAATATTTAAAGTTACATTGCTTTCTATATTATAAAATACATAGTTCATGGTGGATAACCATTGTATTTATTTATTGCTTACCTATTAATATAGCAGCAGCAGTTACCTATTGACGGTTCAGAATTAAGATTTTCATAATAAATAACTCCAGCAGCAACAACTAAAATGGATATCACATGTAACTCAAAGAGAAAATAATCACATAAAATGTTGATGTTCCACATTACTTCAAACGAAAGGTTAGTAAGGAAACCCCCATGAATACTGGAAAGAGCAATAACAGCTACTGGATTTGAGAAACTTATTTTGCTGAAAAACTGTTGAGAAAAAGATTTTCTAAATTTCAAACAAACAGTTCTAGCTGCTTGGTCAATGAATACCAAATGTTTCCATATAATGAAACAGCTAATATTAACATTAAACAAAGCCACACAGTTCTTGCCAAGTTGAATACCAGTCGCTCCCTACCCGAGTCCGCAGGCGAATATCGGATGCTCCCTACCCGAGTCTGCAGGCGAACATCGGATGCTCCCTACCCGAGTCCGCAGGCGAACATCGGATGCTCCCTACCCGAAATCCGCCAGGGCGAACGCCGGATGCTCCCTACCCGAACCCGCAGGCTAACGTCGGATGCTCCCTACCCGAGTCCGCAGGCGGGTCGGATGCTCCCTACCCGAGTCCGCAGGCGAACGTCGGATGCTCCCTACCCGAGTCCGCAGGTGAACATCGGATGCTCCCTACCTGAGTTTGCAAGCAAATATCAGACACTCCCTATCCAAGTCTGCAGGCGAATATCAGATGCTCTCTACCCAAGACCACAG